GCACGCTTCAATTTCTGACAAGGGGGTGTCTTTGTCTCACCATGCTGGGCAGCCAGCCGGAGGCTCCAAGAACTGCGACCATGGGTCGCTGGTCTATGACTGGACCCAGAGTTCTGCAGCAGGCGCTGGGGATAACTTGGCAGCATCGCGTAGTAAGCTGCCATACCCATCCAGACCAGCATTATTCAGTCTTTGTTCAAACGACGTTTGCTGCTCTGGCTAGACTTGAGTTGGAGGGGCGTGGCAGCACTTCTGTCACGCCGTTCTGCGTGCCAAAGTATCTACAACAGGATGGTTTAGGGTTTAAGGGTAAAGGGATGTATAGGATTAACAAACGTATCATCAATCATTATATATAATGCGTTCCTTGAACTACCATGCAGGTACCTGAGCCACCCTGACCAAAGGATCCTCGATCACAGACATGTGCTCTGGGGCCACTAAGCCCAGAATAAACCCTACAAGCCCCGAACCTTGAAATAAGGCTTATAGATCCTTTATAAACCCTGAATAAAGCTTCAACCTCCCTAAACCCTTAACCCGAAGAAATCCTAAGCAGGATTTGGGGTCTCCGTGCAGTACCTCGGGAAGGAAGCGCTGGCTGACTCGGAGGGCTATGTCGCCACCTTTAAGGATGCAACTGAGCTGAGACCACTAGACTTAGGGTAAGTAGAAAATATTTAGTTTTTGGCTACTATGATCACTAAGAAACAGCTTTGCAAGGGTCCCAAGTTCAGTATAGAATAGACGACAGTACGTTTAGGCTTCTGGTTTCTTCAAGTTATAGCATCATGTACCCCGAAACCCTATACCAAGCCTTGTTTCTTGGCTCGGGCTTGATGGAGTTTCGCAATGCTTCGCACTGAACTCACGCTTTGACCTGAACTTCGCAGGTTGCTGTACAGCTGTGTGTAAGGGACGCGACGCAGCTCGCTTTAATGTGCTCCCAGCGGCCCTGCTAGAAATGCCTGAGCTGAGAAACGCTAGACTTTTCGCATCGGAATGCTCTTTCCGGATCAATGCACAGTCTCAAAACCGATCATGTGATGAGAGGGATCACCGAACACTGCGATGATTAGTTGGGCAGTTAGCAGTTTCAAGCCCTACTGCAGAATCCTGATGCCTGTCTATCTCTGTAGAGTTTAGGGTCTGGGGTTTAGGGGGTTTACATATTATATTGTCGTACCACACCCGAGCTTGCTGAAGAGTCGGGTCTATCATCGCCCTTGCTGCCCACTACGAAATGAAGTATAGAAAGTTATAACACACAGCAAAGTTCAACAAAGCTTAGCATACCGAAACATCACTGACTAGGCTTCCTCAGTCTTGAGCCACAAACGCTGTAATCACTTTAGCCTGCACCCCTCATTGTCTTAAAACTTCTGTCGCCTACTTGTTGTTTTTTCTTTTTTTTTGCGTGGGGTCTGCAGGATTTTCCGAACGTCATTGTAGCGAAATAGAGTATTCTTTGCGTTCGATTTGGCCATATAACGGGCTACAGGAAAATTAAACACTGAACCCTAAACCCTAAACCGTGATCTAGGGCCAAAGTCTATTCTATTGGTACATGCACCCGGAGGGTTTGTTTTGAACCCCTTTCATCAGATCTTCTCCGTTAGATTCGGTTTAGGGTTTAGGGTCTAGGGTTTAGGATAGGGGTTGAAGATTTCAGGTTTCTGGCGGACGCGTTGCAAGAGAGCAGCGCATCGGGGTCGAAACTGCAGGGTCTAAGGTCATCACGCATCCCAAGCCTTAAACCTAAAACCCCCACAAACCTAAATGGTTGTGTGCCCCTTTTCAGGAACCCCTAAACCCTAAACCCTAAAACACCCATCAACCTAAATGGTCGTATGGGGAGCCCCTTTTCAGGAAACCTGCAGAGCATCGCTTCCAGGAGCCCTGATCGGAACCCCTTCTTTAGAGGAGCTCCTGCATTGTTCCAAAACACATAATGGAGGCACTTGATGAAGAAACCTTGGTCCTATAATCACAAGTAGAACCCTGAAAAGAGACCCAGGGTTTCTTAATGAGGTTCCTGTAATTGGAGCATTTTAGAGGAGCCGTTTCTGAACCCTCGAGACGAGGTAGCGCTAGCAGGTGATGATGGCATCATCGTTGACGAGAAGCCGCTGGGTTTCGAGCTTTGGGGTTTAAATTAAAGGTTTAGGGGTTTTGCAGTCTAGCGTTTCGGGTTAGGGGGTTTTGGGATGTAGGTTCGGATCTGGGATTTGGGGAATAGGGTTTATCGGGTTTAGGCAGTAGGGTGTAGGGATGTTTGGGGTTTACGTTTTAGGGTTTGTCTCTCCCGAAACCCCACGCCTTGTAAACCCTAAACTTAAACCCTAAAACAAACCAGGAACTTATTAAACCCTAAACCCTGAAACCCTTATGAACCCAGAACTTAGAAACCAAGGAACTGCCACATCTTCTTGGCCTCGGCGGGCTTGGCTGTGAACCTTGCATCGAACTTGCAGTTGTTGGAGGCATGGCCCCACCGGCTTCCTTGAAGGGTCTTCTCGGGATTCTCCACGGGCTCTAATAAAGGGGTTCTATATATAGCGGGATGAGTAAGGAATAGGCTCACTCCCCCGGAGACTATAGTCTACGGCATTACCATCTTGAGCCCTCCTACTTTGTCGTGTTTTTTTTCAGACCCCAGGGGTATTATGGGGGTGTAGAGGCTCGCAGAGATCCAGGGATCCAGGGCTACGAAGTTTATGGATACGCATCGGCCCCTAAGTAGTTCCTTTTTGCGGTTCATATTTAGAATCCTAAAAGCTAATCTCAAAAAGGAACTACTTAGGGGCCTATGGATAGTGCCGCTCCTCTGAGTTTAGTGCCCAGGATTTGCGCTTCCGGCGGTTCGTTGTTATATTCTCGAATTTACAACCCGGAACAGGACGAGACCGAAAACCCACGAAGCCTTCATGTACCAAACTCTCTGCCACCAACCCTAAGACCCTATAGCTCCTAAACCCAAAACCCTAAACCGTTAACCCTACCGTTTCCGAAGGTCTGGGGGGATCCAGCCACTCCCTATTCTTCAGGACCGCGGTGGAAATGGCATGACTACTCCCAAGGCGGGATCTATCTAGGGTTTCCTTAAATGCCATCTGGAAATGTTGCTGTCCTCTAAAGATTGGGCTCAGGAGCTTCTTAGCTCCGAATATGTTTCCAAGGGTTTCAAGGGGTACCGGTTTTCCAGTTCTCTAAGTGATCTCATTTGTTTTGGAGCATTATAGGTCGGAGAAAGTGAGCTCTTGGTTTGTGCACTGACGTTGAAAGCCTGAGAGTTCGCCAACCTCAATGATCAGGAGGGATACTGTTTTGGCCTCGACGTTACCGTAATGCTTTCTAGCTGTTTTTATATTACCATAGTACCTTTCCCTACGTAATTGCTGCATAAATAATGCAATGCTGGCTCTGCCCGCCCGGTTTGGTTAAGGTGGGTTTCTGTTTTCGTGCAAGATGTCGCTAGCTCATACCTCATACCCGTCGTTTGGCTCAAGTAAAAAATGTGCGTAGCAAGAGTAAAGTTGTGTAGGGCTCTCCAAAGGGACCATGGTTTTGACAGCTACCCAGTTCTGCGCCTAGCCTAGAAGACGTATATACCTTAGCCCAACAACGCCTACTTTTCGCCAGTTCCTTGACTCCTATATTCCAGAAGGGCATTCTTAAGGGCTACAGCGGTACTGTCAGGCTTTTTTTTCAGGACTCCGTAAGGTTTTAGGAATAAATATAGTCTCCATTGTAGTTCTTTTTTGGGAATAACTTAATAGGACCCTAGATATAAACCACTAAGAAGAACTACAACGGAGCCTATAGGTAGTTAGTTGTGGTATCCTAAACCCGAAGCTTAAGCTTCTCGCAGGTCGGGCGCCCGAGCACGGATCGTGGGAGAAGCCCGTGCAGGTACGCATTTTAGGTCTGAAAGGGCTTCGAGACGGTCTATGATTCTGGTGGTTCAGGGTTCAGGGAGTTTAGGGCCTTCGTGCTTGTAGGGTTCAAGGAAGTGCGCAACGATTCAGGAGGGCTTCGTGTCTCCATCGAAAACCGCAAAGCAGAGTACTGAGAGGCTCCCTCGATGTTCCGATGTTCCTCGCTCGCGCGCAACCCTAACTCCCTACTATAGGGGCCTTCATAATTTTAACAGGGTTTGGGGAATGTTATAGTATAGTTAAAGTAAGGAACCACAAACTAGTCTTGGCAATTATGCAGACCGTTGTATTACTACATGCGAAACTTGACACGATAAACGATGACCCGCCAAACCTTCAAGCCTGCATTCCTCAATTCCCTTCGTGCAGAAAAGCCCGACACCCCTTCCAGAAGGAGGGTTTAGAGTTTCGGCACCCCTCAAAAGACATGTTGAGCCCTAAATCCCTGCTGCTAAAGCTCATCCAAGTTTGGGATTAAAAGCAGGGGCCTGAGTAGTTAGTCCTTCTTGTAGGGTTTAGGGTTTAGGGTTTCGGTACTGTAATCATTTATACTGCCAGATACCCTCAAGACCGTCTTAATGTGTCAAAACCAATCGTTGGGCTTCCGTGGACTGTCATTCAGCGGCCCACCATGCTCACAACCCAGCCAAACAAGTCTTGGGGTTTAGGGTTCTCTTGGGGGTTTTCCAGCCACGGCCTTAACTCCAACTTTCGTTCCTGCATACTTGATGTTGTTGTATGTTTTCGTGATAGGAAGGGTCGCTGTGCTCCTGCAGCCCCAGGATAGCCCTGTGTGCAGGTTTCCAAGGTGGCCAGTGTGGTGCAGTTTGCCGCCACGTCGCATTTCCACGTGCTGACGGAGGCTACAAGAGACGTGTCGGGGTAGGTTTCAGACGCAGCGATCGACGTGCATGTCCTCTGGTTTTGCGTGTGAAGATCGTGAACAAAAAAGCCGTACAGGAGGCAGAGGTACATCTTTGTCTGCATATGTTCAATCAGGGCTGGTGGCGACAAAACCATAATCGAAAAGCATTGGTTCACAACGAGCGGTGTAAGTGTTTCTGTTACCTGGCTGCAGTTGCCATGACGAAGGTTCTCTCCGTCTTTAGTGCATCTACATCTCATTGCGTGGGACCTCTGCCTTTGTCCTTTCTGGAGATGATCTGCTTCGATTCGATACGCTGCCTGTTTCTTTGGTTACAATACCTCTAGAAGGAGCAACCTTGGTCTGCAGCTCTCAAACCCTGGTTCCGGAGTTTTTTATGTCACCCTAAACCTGTCACATTGCCCAACCTTCCCTTTTGTCCGTTCCAACCGACAGTGAAGTGCACCTCCGCCTCTGCAAGCGGCCTCGAGGGCGCTTTCATGTTTACTTCCTGCAAGCAAGCAGCAGCAACACAGGAGTGCAGATCACTAGTCACGTGTCGCATATCCTCGTACCAATACAGGACACTGGCGATATCATACCAGCAAGTTCATGCAGGGATGCAGCACCTCATTCGGCACACATGATATATGATATAGACTAGTATGTATCTTGTTTTCTATATGACCATACTACATTGCTACATTGCATATGAACAGGTACTTGGGCGGCTCTGGTTGCTGGTGTCGCATGGCGTTTTGGAAGATCCCGAAATGCACCTGGTGCTGCCGAAACCGTTTCTGGGTTCTTATTAAGGAGTTTAATTTAAGTTACCATAATGATGGTGTTTTATAGTTCATATCATATGGTTTCCTGTTTTGGTAACGTAGCTGAAACACAAGGGACCTATACCGGAGCAAGTGCTTTCTTATTATGGCAACTGAAGCTAAATTTCTTGACCATAAACCCTTATAGAACCCTTACAAAACCCTCGTAAATATGGCCGCTTAACTTGACGTCCTTAACGCTAAACCCTTACAGAACCCTTAAAGGAACCCCAAAATGCGGTAACGTAACCGGAACTCCTTAACTTAACCACAAACCCTTATGGAACCCTTCAAGGAACCCTAAGTTGTGGTAGCTTAAACTCCCTAGCGAAAACTGTACAGAACCTTTGGAGGAACCCTACTGTAGGTTTTGGTAGCTTAACCCACATTCCCTAACAAGAAACATAAACCCTAAACCGTTAAACCCTAGCCATTTTGGCTCAAGCCCATCATGCAGTCGTAAAAGGTTCTGGACATGTCTGCGGATTCAACCTTGGCATGGGAATGCAAAATATTTTGAAGCACTGCAGCCTGTTCATTAGGAGCTAGAACGGAACATTTCCTTACTGTGCGTCTTTGACAAAAAAAACCATGAACCCTAAACTTTGCCCTAAGCTGCCGAAAAGCCCTAACTGAAAACCCTAAACCCTGGACCCTAAACCCTAAACCCTAAACCCCAAAACCCTAACAAAAAACCCAGGTTTGGTTTCCTGGCTGCTGGGCTTAAGCTGCTGACTCAGGAGCTCGAGCTGCCAAGCAAGAGGCTCCTGAAGTAGCGCTTAAGGGTTCCTTCAAGGGCTCCTTTAAGGGCTTCTATAAGGGTATCATAGTAGGTTTTAGTTTCAAGGTTGTTTCGGGTTTAGGGTTACCTCGGGTTGAGGGTTATTCAGGGTTTGTTGCAATTTCGGGTTTAGGGTAGTTTCGGGTTTAGGGTTGTTCAAAGTTTAGGTTTATTTCGGGTTTAGGGTCTAGGGTTGTTTCGTGTTTAGGGTTTAGGGTTACTTGCAGGAACCGGTCGAGTCGGAAGCGCTCTCTCTCTCTCTCTCTCTCTCTCTCTCTCTCTCTTTCTCCCTCTCTTATATATTGATATATATATATATATGTATATATATATATAGATAAATGTGTGTGTGTATGTAATTACGTACATAGTTACATATATATATATATAGATAT